AGGGGATCTTCTTTTTCCCAGTGGCCATGTCAGAAGAGCAGCAGCTGGCAATTGATTTCAGGTGTTTGGCTCACCAAAATGCAAGGCACTAGTGGGTGATTCTTGGATAGTCAAGGCCCCGAGGGCTTCAGCTCCAGAATGCCTCTTGCTACTGCTGTGTATTTACATGTTTGCCACTGCCATTTTTCTCTGGAATCTGGCATGGCATGCATGGGTGTGGGGGATCCCCACTGCCTTTAATGTAGTGTGATTATCTCACGGAAATATTCTGTTCTACTGGGCATTTCTATTTCTACCTGTGGATTATTATGAAGATGATCTCCTCTTAAGCTGTACTGTTTAATTGAAGCAAGGGTTTTATACAATAACAGTTTAAATAGAATTTTGATGATTGAGGATTTTTAATAAATACAGTAAAGGATTGTGAGAGAGGTCAGTTTAGTGGGAAATTGATATAGGTAATGGCAGGATATGGGGTTGCCCTTGCCCTGATAAACCAAGGGCTACAGAGAATAAGGAAGTGCCATGCGGCTGGTACTTATGAGTATTAATGATTAAGAAAAACAATTGTGTCTCAGAAGCGAGGCTAGCTCGAGTTTTCTTAATCTTATGCAATCTTTTTTTTTTTAAGATTTATTATGTATACAGTGTTCTGCCTGCATGCCTCAAGAGGGCACTAGATCTCATTATAGAGTACTGTGAGCCACCATGTGGTTGCTGGGAATTAAACTCAGTACCTCTGAAAGAGTAGCCAGTGTTCTTAACCTTTAACCCATCTCTCCAGCAAGTTCTCTTAATCTTTTTTTTTTTTTTTTTTTGGTTTTTCGAGACAGGGTTTCTCTGTGGTTTTGGAGCCTGTCCTGGAACTAGCTCTTGTAGACCAGGCTGGTCTCGAACTCACAGAGATCCGCCTGCCTCTGCCTCCCGAGTGCTGGGATTAAAGGCGTGCGCCACCACCGCCCGGCAAGTTCTCTTAATCTTAATGTTGGGAGACGTGTTCATGGTTTTCAGTGTGCATCACAGCTAAAACAAAGCTTTAGATAATGACTTCAGGTTAGGTTAAGGGTTTTTTTTTGTTGTTGTTGTTGTTGTTTTTTTTAAATGGCTTTGAGGTAGAAAATCTTGGGGAACAATTTAAATTTTAGAAAGGCACATAGTTGAGTGAGGGATTTGTTGAGGTCAAGAAACAAGAACAAACAAAGTCCTGTTGTTATTAGCTGATGTGCCTTTCCTGCTAGGATTGGTTGGTGGTCAAAGGTGAGTAATTCCTTGTACCCATTTCTATCCTCAGCTTCCTGGTATAAAAAATTATTGATGAGCAGGTATGCACCCTGAGGATTTGCAGTAGAACAGACTGATTCTTTTTCATATATAAAAGTTTAGATTTGTGATTCTTTTAAGATTTTTTATAAGATTACCATTTAAGAAAAATAATATAATAAACTAATTGATTCTTTCCTTGTAACCACACAATATAGCCTGCCAGTAAAAAAACTGGCTGAGAAAAATACCTTGCTTACACGCCGTTACTCTATAACAAGTTGCTTGAACATGAATGTACGTGTGCCGTTGAGTATAATTTGTTTTTCACCTGTAATACATAAAAGGTTTAATCATGTAAGGGATATGTAAAACATGTTGTTTTTTTTACTTCCATTCATATACTCATTCACTTAAAAATAGAATGTAATCACATTGTAATTTTTATGTTGTTTGAAAGATTTTGCTGGAGTATATAAGCTAAAAGGAAAAAAATAAGAATAGACAGAGGGATACATCTTGATAGATGTAAAAAAGGAAATAGATGAGAGAGATGATAGAAAGAAGACTGGTGCTAAAGGTGTGTGTGTGTGTGTGTGTGTGTGTGTGTGTTTCCCCTTTTCTGCTGGCCCCGAAGAGTTAAGTTTTACTCCCTCAGGTAGAAAAATTAATTGAGTGATTAGTCCACCACCAACTCCGTGTCTCTCCTCGATCCCTGAGCTGCTGAAGGCGGCGCTCCTCTCTCTACCTTCCCAGTGCTGAAATTATAGGCACTCACTGCAATGCTTAGATTTTGTTCTTGTTTGATAAGTGTGCTTTGAAGGATCAAATTTTGATTCTCATGCTTGTATGGCAGGCACTTTACCAACTGAGACATCTCTTCCAATCCCACTCCTTTAAAATATTGGGTCTGTTTTACCAACGAAATAGAAATAAAATAGTGCACTGAAGTAGAAATGAAACCTCAGTTTGAGAGAAGGAAAATAAAGATGAAGTAGTCATTTAGGGGGTCTGGAAATAAAGAATGGTTTTTACATAAGCATGGCTGCTCACCCTCTGTCCTCAGAGCACTGGGCTGCCACATAAGGCCAGAGTGGGCTCTGTAGCAAAACTGTGTCTCAGACATTCAAAATAAACAAGTAATAAAATTTAAAACAGGATGATTGCTAGACAGAAATAATATTTAATTGAAAGCGAGACTCTTGGCTAACAGGTTTTGTTTATTTTTCGCCTTGCAGAGTTTACTTTCATGGGTGTAGGTACAGAATAGGAAGAATATTGAACTTAACTTGAACTATGTACTAGCTCATTAGGAATGGCAGCAGTTGTAAATATTGACCATGTAACCCAAACTTGATTAGGAGTGAAGCAAAGATGAGAATGCAGTAAACAGCTGCAGAAAGTTGTATTGTGGATTGTGTCATAGAAGTGAGTAGTAAAGGCAGTGTTGGCGTAGAGAAGGCCAAGAGCTGAGGACGAGGGTTTTGAAGGAATCATTCATATGCACAGTAACATCACCAAGGATTAAGACAGTTGTGCTGATGGGAGTGATAGAGTGAGATGAGGAGGCTGATTCTGGCTGCAGTGGCGGGTGTAACAAGGGTGGTGGTGGTGGTGTGTGAAGTAATCTGAAGTCAAGTTTGAGTGGTAAGGGACTAAGTAGGGAGGCGCAGATAACTGTCTGGAAATAGCAAAGATGCCAAAAGAGAACACAGTAATGACAAAGGGGAGTCATCAAAGATGCCTTTCAAGACATTTGCTGAGCTAAAGGCCTCGAGCTTCTAGATTGCAGTCATTACAGAGCCATGCCCAGGATATTAGCAGTGGAAAATCATCTGAAATTTTCTGGGGTGTGTGTGCAATGTAAGGACTATGATGATTAATTTTCATGATCAGTGTGAGTGGATTGAGAATTCCCTGGAAGACAAACCTTTGGATGCATCTGTGAGGGTCTCTCTGGAAAGATCTAACTGAGAGGAAAGACCAACTGTAAACATGGGGACCTCCATCCCATGGGCCAGGGTCCTGGGCTGAAGGGAAAAGGAGAAAGCAAGCTGAACACAATTCCAGGTGCAGTGTGGTCAGCTACATCATGCTCCTGTTGCTATACCCTTCCCACCATGACTATATCCTCTTTGATCACGAGCCAAAACAGACCCTTCTTTCTTATGCTGCTTTTGGTCAGGTGCTTGGTCCCAGCTAACAGTTGTTAGCACAAGGACCAAGAATGAGAATAACATCAAACTTCTTAATTGCCACTCTTAAGAGAGATGGCTGGGATCTAGTCTCTAACCAACCAGTTGTATATTGTGTTAAGTGTAAAAGAATTAAGATACTTTGAGAAGTACAGGGTAGGGGTGGGAGAGATGGCTCAGCGGTTGAGAGCACTGGCTGTTCTTCCAGAGGACCCTGGTTCAATTCCCAGCACCCACATGACAGCTCACAACTGTCTGTACCGTCCTACTGAGGGGATCTAACACCCTTACACAGACATACATGCAGGCAAAAGAGTGCACATAAAAAAAAAGAGGTACAGGGTTATGGCAATTGTGTATTTCATGTATCTTGTAGGATGGTGCTAGAGAAGGGAGAGAGGTAGTAATAATAAACAAGAACGCAGGATTAACAGGACAAAGTACCCAATACAAGACAAAAAATAGGGGCCTCAGAATGGCAGCTGTGTACCAGATTATGTTAGAATGGGCAGCATGCCCTAGATGATGGGCTAGATAACTTACCGATACATTGGAAGACTTGACAGGGAAGAACTGTTGTGGAAGGGTTTAAAAACAGAGACATCTAAAGCAAACATGAAGGAATAGTTACAGCTGCAGTAGAAACAATGTGTCCATGCAAAGGAGAATCAGTGTGTCCTTCTGCTCTCTATGGCTCATCTGTAGCTAAGGGGAACACTGAATAAGATGTAATAAAAATGAAATCTATACCAGAAGGGCAAAGGGAGTGTGAAGAATAGACATTTCTAGAGCTGGATTTCAGAAATGAGATGTAGTTTTTATCTTCCACAGTGGGGCATTCACAAATAGACCATTTGTAATAGTAACTTTATCTGCCATCGACACTTGTATGTCTGCATGTACAAGTTGATAGCAAGTATCAGGAAATAAGAAGGACATTTACAGACTTCTAGATAAACACCAAAAGAAAAAATGAATTAGAAGTATCCTACCTTGAGTATTGGAGATGGGATAGAAAATAGGGGAATGGTTTTTCTTTTCTTAATATGCCTTCCTGAATTGTCTCTTAATAAATAATAATGTATCTATAAACATATAAAATATAACATGAAACTTGTGAATTCATGCATACTTTCCACTAATAAAAAGAAACAGTCACACATTTGTATGTTACAAAGATATTCAAGGATAATTCATTTTCTGTGGTCTCAGTACCTTTATAAACTAGAATAAAATATACTTTAAATTTCTTTAAGATTTATTTTTATTTATGTGTTTATGTCTTGAGGGTATGCCACATACATGGGTGCCTGAGAAGGCTAGAAGAAAGTGTTTCCCTCAGAGCTGCAGTTAAAAGCGACCCCACGTGGGTATACTGGGGTATGGACTCAGGTCCTCTGGCAGAGCAGCAAGCTTTCTTATCTACTGAACCATCTTTCCTCTGTATTTTCCCTTAAATTTAATAGGTAATAAAAGGTTAGGCTAATGTTCAAAATAAAAGTTTACTTGGTGTCAGAAACTGACATCTCCCTATCTCCTCTTCAGAGCACAGAGCCGTCATGGAAGCCGCTTTTGTGTATGGGACCTCGTATCAGTTTGCCTTAACCACAGAAGTTGCTCTTTTAGAAGATATTGGGTATGTAATGAGAAGCCAAGGTCAAAGGTTTGATTTTCTGCTGTTGACACATTTCATGTTGCTTAGTCAGCATTTCTATCACTGATGTGGCTTGGGGTTCTCTGAAGGAATGACACACATTTGTAAACATATAGGGAAGCCTGGGCTGCCTTCATTACCCTGCTGCAACCCACTCTGTGACATTACGTAGAGACAGTGGTAATTTGGGGTGAGTAAAGACAATGGGTAACTATGTACTAGAGTGTCACAGTGGCAACGGGAAGTATTTTAGGAATAGATATGTAATGGTCACACGATGGTAAATAACAGGCTCAGATTTAGGCTCCAGAGTCTTTTGACGGTTCTCTAAGTCACTTCATCATAATAATCCTAATGTACTTAAGGCAGCTTTTGAACAGGATGTTTTAATTTTTTGTCTAATTCATAACTTATAGTTCTAGATAGAAGCTCACTTTTCAGTGCTTTTTATAGGGGAGTGCCAATCTCAGGTAAAGTTTCTCCTTTTAGTACTTAAAATCACAAGAGGTAGCCAATGAAATTTAACAACCAAGTGTAGCTTCAAAATTCTCTCCAAGAAAATTGATCCAAAGCAAGGCAAAATGCTATGACCTGTAACATGGAGGGGGGCCAGGCTTGCTTGTTTGTGTTTTCTGTCCTGCCCAGTACCCCCAGCTGTTTAGCCCCAAAGAAAATCACACATAGATCTTTATAAGTTATAAAGCTGATTGGCCCATTAGCTCTCGCCTCTCACTGGCTAACTCTCACATCTTGATTAACCCATTTTTCTGATCTATGTTAGCCATGTGGCTCAGTATCTTTTTCAGCTGGCAGCTCACATCCTAGTGCTTCAGTGATCTGGGCAGGAGTGGAAGGAATCAACTTCCTCCTTCCCAGAATTCTTCTGTTCTCATTACATCATTTCTACTTCCTGTCTGGTTTTCCCGCCTATATTTCCTGCCTGGCCAATCAGCGTTTATTTATAACATGATTGACAGAAGACAATTCTCCCGCACCAATGACCTCTTGTGGTCGTGCCAGGGTTTCTCATGTGCCCTCCTGTGGGCCTCTCAGGACCTCATAGGTCTTTGCTCTTCTGCTTCCGCAGATGTCAGGTTGACTACAGGAAAAGCAGACAGGTCCTCATAGAGTTGGAGTTGGTGCCAAAGTCTTTGTGTTTCCGCTGGTCAGTTCTCCGTGGTGGATTCTCGATGTGTTTTCAGTCTGCTACTGAACTTCTCTTGTTTTCTGTGGCATGCTCTTCTAAACTTCCAATAAACTCCTTATTTTCTGTTTTCTGTGAGTAGTAAACTAAGGATCCCTGATTAAAGCAGCTCTTCAGCTTTTTTCTACTTTGGAGCTCTTGATAAAAGCGCAGCCCTAAGCACGACGTGCTCAACACTGTGCTTCAGGTCCAGAGTTAGCCCTCAGGAAGCTGTGCACTTTCTTAGAGCCTTAGCGACACAGTGCTTGCTCCCCTTTGACATGTACTCTTATCCTACCTTCACGTGCCTTCTCTCCTGTGTGAGCTCTGTGATCTTCCCTCTCTTTCCCTTCCTTCTCCTTCCCAACTTGAGGCAGAATGAAATATTTCTTTGTTCTTTGTACAATCTTATAGTTGATAAAGTTAGTTTTAGTTGTTCTCCTAATGCATCTCTTTTTGCTTAAGCCCTTAAAGACTTCAGGTAATCTTATTAGTCTTTACTGTTGAACATAGAGGGTTTTTTTTGTTCAATTTTTAGGTTAATTTAATTACAACATTTCTCCCTTCCCTGTCCTCCCTCTAAACCCTGTCATATACCTCTTCCCATCTCCTTCAAATTTATGGTCTCTTTTTTCACTGTTAGTGCATATATGTACGTGTGTGTGTGTGTGTGTGTGTGTGTGTGTGTGTGTGTGTATATATATATATATATATATTCCTAAATATAATCTGTTGAGTCCATATAAGGTTACTTGTTTGTGTGTTTTCAAGAGTAACCATTGGCACTGGACAACCCATTGGGTGTGCTCTTCCCTGGGGAGGGCCACCTCTCCTGCTCCAGCTTTCTTCAGTTGGCTATACTCTGTGTAGGGTCGAGGTCTCATGGGCTTTTCTTCATCTAGTTTGGCATACTCATTGATGCCACCCTTATTCAACTCTCCTTTGGGCAGTCACGTTGTGAGACTTAATGTGTGCAGCTTCTGCTGTTACCAGGAGACAGTCTCACAGCAAACTCTCGGCTCCCCCTGGCTCTTACAGTCTTTCTGCCCCCTCTTCCACAATGGTCCTTGAACCTTAGGTGCAGGAGGTTTTGTAGATTGGGACTGAGCCCCACAATTCTGCATTTGTACTGGTTATGGTTTTCTGTTATGGTCTCTCTGTTGCAAAGAGTAATTTCCTTGATAGAGGATGAAGACTACACTTATCTGTGGCTATAAGGTAAATGTTTATAGATTGTTGTTAGGGATTATGCTATTTTAGGAAATTAATAGTTGTAGATTTTCCTCCAATAACCATGACTTTTCTAGCACTGAGTAGGTAGCTTGGTTTCCAGAACCAGGTGTGGGGTCCTTCTTGTTGAGTGGGTCTTAAGCCCAATTAGAGAGCTCTTGGTTATTACTGAGGTATGTGTGTCACCCTTTGGGTTATTGATGTAATTCATGGGCATCGTAGCTGGGTAGGATTGTTGGTTGTCTCCTTCCTTTGAAAGCCTCCTGGTACCGTGATAGCTAGTCCTCAAAGAGGGGCTGTTCAGGTTCATTTCAGTCTCTAGGCACTGTTTCTGAAGTAGCATAGAGCTTTAACAAGAGTTATTAAGTAACTATTTATGGTTGTTTCACTTATCACTGGCTCTATTAGGAGTCACATGGTAATTAAATTAAAAATCAGTTGACTACTCAGTTGACATATAAAAATAAAGTATTGTAATATTTTACAGAACTCCATTAGTAATATATGGAGATTTTTAAAATGCTGTTTTACATTACCAGGAAGTCTCATGCAATACATAGATGAATAGAAATGGGTTAATTTAAAATATAAGAGGTAGCTAGAAATATGCCTGAGCTGTTGGCCAAACAGTGTTATAAAAAAAATGCTGTTTTAATTTTGGCAAAACTTAATCTTCACTGTAAGTTTAAGTCCTCATATTGAAATAATGCCAGAACTAAAATTATGAATTGTATTTGCTAGTTTTGTACTTTTGAACTACAAATTCACAGACTCCCACAGCTATCACATGGTTTCTATCTTAAGGCATAGTTTAGCTAAAGTTTATTTAAAACAGTTTTGGTTTTAAATTAAACTTAGAAAATTTATATTACAAAGCTTCATTTAGCATAGCTCTAGGAAGGCAGCTGTATTTAAAGATAATCTCATCTGTGAGTCTTTCATTGAAACCTCTAACCTAATCTAGATGTTAATGTATAAAAGTTCAGTTAATTAAGGTTAATTTTCTGAAATATTTTCTCTCTTGTTTTGTCCAAGTTGATTTTATTTTTAAAGTTAATTCTTAGGTTTTTATTAAGACAGTAATTGAATGCATGAGAATTAAGGAAAGAAATTTGTTAGTAGGTCCTTTTGGATTGTAAGAGGATCACGCATTGAATTTCCTTAAGTGTCTCTTGGTGGTGTTCAATTGCAGCTCTGAGGATATAGGGCGTGCACATCTTTACTTTTGCCATTGTGAGCTGGCCTTGGACTTGACTGAGCGCTGTAGAAGAACACTAATGGAACAGCCGTTGACCACACTGAATATTCACATATTTGTTAAGACAATGAAAGCACCTCTGTTGGTACGTGTTTCATTTTACTATTCATATTTTATCACATGAAATTTAGTAAGTTTTGATCCACAGGTGTTTATATTCATGGCTATATATTTTGATCTCTTTTCTTTGGAGACAGCATTTTCACTTCCCAGCTTTTAAGAGTAATTTCTTGCTAAATGTAGATTATAAACTGTTTTTAAAATAGTATTTTTATGTCTCGATTAGTTGCATCAAAATCCCTACAGATAACATAGCAGTGGTCATGCTGTGTGGTGGTTGTAAGGAGTGCAGATGCGTGGTGAGCGTCCAGAGAACAGAGCAGTCACGCTTGAGACGAGCCCTCCTTTGTGAATGGCTTAGTCATTCTTTAAAAAGTTGGTCGCTATTGCAGCCATGGGCCTATTGTGTCGCGCTTTGCTTAGCAGTAGCCTTCAAGAATTCTACAGCCACATTTAATGATGGTGATCAGCATTTTCTCTGAAACATTAAAGGCCTGTATTGAGTATATAGAAAAACCTTCAGTATATGTTCTCACATGATACATCTTAAAAAATGTTTTACAAATAATCTGGATAGCAACACAAAGTGTAAATTAAGAAATGCAGGTTGCCCCATGTTGTCCCTCAGACAGTGAATATCCAGTGATAACACTTTTATTATCGCTGCCCCTTATGCAGATGGAGTGTGGGTGGCTCAGTGGGCAAACAAGTGTCATCGTGTAGTCAGAAGGGCTGTCTTTAAATCTTACGTGGATTTAACACAAGAACAAGCTGAGAAGCATCTAAAGGGATTGTTCTTCTTAGGAATGTTTCACCGTTATAAAGTGCTCTTTAGGAAATACTGTCTCAAGTGTAGAGTTATAAAAACTAATAAAGAGTAAGTTTTTAAAATGCTGATATTTTCATTTTAGGTAGAAGGAGGTATTTGCCTTTTCTTTGAAAGATGGGAAAATTAACTTCATATATTTATTTTCAAGTATGTTCCTGGGCCTTTCGAATTTTTGTTAATATTTTTCTTTTCTCACCATTCAAACATATATATATTTCTAGTCTACTCTGTAGTCAAAATTCCAACCTTTTCAGAAGCCAGGCTTCACATTTAATGGACTAGAGCTAGCCAACTACACTTTCCCTGGCTTAATCCTTAAACTCTTTATTTAAATAACTTCCTTCAGTTGGATCTTTGTTGTGAAGACGTTTCTGGTTTGTTTTTTTGTTGTTGCTGAGACCAGGTCTCATTGTGTAGCTAGATTTGAAACTTGCTGTGTAGCCCAAGCTGGCATCCAACTCATGATCATCGTACCTCACTTTTCACATGTACGGTATAAGAAAAAAAAATTAAAAGAAAGTAAGTAATAGATCTCTTTCTTTGACAAAGAATGGCAGATATATCTTGCATCCATAGGATTTGTTTTGGTGTCCCATTTGAGGAACAGGTGAAGAACCCCCCAGAGTTCTTCACCATTTCTCTCCAGCCATGTTTTCTTATCTTCAGTCAGGTACTAAGAATTCTCTGAATTTTGGGCCAGCAAGATGGTGTCAGGCACCAAGCCTCATGACTTAGTTCAACCCCGGGACCCCGTACACATGCACAAAGTAAAAGTGCAAATAAGTGAGAACTCCGGGTTTTTGCTTACCTACCAATAGGGGGCAGAATAACGCTAAACAATAAAAGTGTTGCTTTTTTTCTTGATTGTCTATCTTGGAGTTGTACCCTTTTTCTAGTTTCTACTCCATGAATTTTTTTGCTGTTTTTAAAAACTATATTTAGGTAGACACTCAGGGAGGAGATTCTGATTTTATTTCATTTTATGACAGGAATTATACAATACTAAATTTGAAATGGAAAAAAACCCCAATTTTGAAGACTGCATAGTGAGTTGGGAATAGATTCAGTGTGGCTGCACCTGAAAGCATGACACACATAAAGTCAAGGGTAGTGTTGTATTCTCTCTGGAACCGTGGAGTACAGCTGGCTCTGCTCGGCAAAAGGAATAGTAAATCACTGGGCTGGGGGGGTGGTGGGGTGTTTCTTTCAAAACTCTCACAACATGATGCATAGGCATCTCATTTTTTAGTTTAAATCCTTTTGCTCCCCCTGGACTGCTAAGGAACTGTGTGGCTTCTGAATCTTGGTTAGGGACTAGAGGCCCAATGCCTGGCAGCGTGAAGCCAGGAGAGGGCTGAGTGCAGAACTGAAGGGAGTGGGGATTAGAGCTAGAATAGGAAACCAGGCTTGGCCCAGTGTTTCTGGAAGTGTTCTCAAAAGCCAAGAAGACCAGGCTGGCAGCCTTCCTGTGGAGGAGGACAAGCTAAGAGCAGGGAGTTCAGGGGATTCCTGGATGGGCGAGGGCTGATGTCTTAACCTTTTGGGATAAGGAGATGTTAGAGATCTGATCTGATTTGGTCACCTCTAATTTAGGATTTGGCCTTATTAGTATTCAAGGTTGTTTTTTGTTTTTAATGAATATCCTTGAGGCTATAAAACAAAACAAAATCAAAGCCTTTTTATAGGAAACAGCCTGTAGGCCAAAATTGAGTGTGACAGGAATATGCTTTTTGGTGGCATGGCAAGAGATAGGGAGCCACTGGGGTTACTAAAGATTCTATAACCCGTGAGACACAAAATTAGTTGATCTGAAGGACTCATTTGTAGTTTGTTCTTATTCTGTAGCCCCAGCTATGGTCATTTTTTAGAAATTAATTAATTGAGATAAGGTCTTACAGTATGTAGCCCTATAGTATGACTACCTAGAACTTACTCTGTAGATCAGGATGGCCTGAAACACACAGAAATCTGCCTGTCTCTGTTTCTGGAGTATTGGGATTAAAGAGGTGTACTACCAGCACACCCAGCCTCCACAGTCACTGTATACCAATGGTTTTCAACTTGTGGGTTGTGACCCCGTTGGAGGTAATAATCTTTTCACAAGGTTTGTCTATGACCATAGGAAATATCAGATATTTACATTGTGATTCATAGTAGTAGCTGAATTATAGTTATGAAGTAGCAACAAAAAAAACCTTAATGATGGGGGATCCCCACAACATGAGAAACTGTTAACACAGAATTAGGAAGGTTGAGAACCACTGTTCTACAGTGTTCTTCTGTATTAGTTACACATCAGTCATACTACATGCCTTTGAGGTATGGTACATTGGGTTTTGCATAGTAGCCTGGCCTCAGGTGTTTGAGAGCTGAATAACTTGGTGTGTTTGCATTATATTTTGAGCAAGCAAAAGTAGAAAGACTCAAACTTTTGTGTGGATAGTATATGTCATAGTTGGGGTTTCTATTGCTGTGAAGAGACACCATGACCATGGCTACTCTTAAAAAGGAAAACACTTAATTGGGGCTAACTTACAGTTTCAGAGGTTTAGTTCATTATTGTCGTAGCAGCACATGGTAGTGTGCAGACAGACATGGTGCTGGAGAAGGAGCTCAGAGTTTTACATCTTGATCTGCAGCCAACAGCAAGTGAACTGAGTTACTGTGTGTAGTTTGAGTATTGGAGACCTCAAAGCCTGTCTCCATAGTGACACACTTCCTTTAACAAGGCCACATGTACTCTAGAAAAGCCACACCTCCTAATAGTGCTACTCCTTTTGGAGGCCATTTTCTTTCAAACCACCACAGCAGCCGGGCGGTGGTGGCGCATGCCTTTAATCCCAGCACTCGGGAGGCAGAGGCAGGCGGATCTCTGTGAGTTCTAGACCAGCCTGGTCTACAAGAGCTAGCTCCAGGACAGGCTCCAAAAACCACAGAGAAACCCTGTCTCGAAAAACAAAAAAAAACCCACCACAGCATATGTCTAATCACTGCAATGTGATAGTATTTCACTTCCAACCCTATGAAAATTGATTCAGGTTGGTGCTTTTTGTATATGTTCATTTCTCTCTCTTTTTAAAGGTAGATGGAACTTGGATACGTAAATTAGACATACAGTCTAACAATTGGGTGTGTGTATGTATGTTTTAGATGGAACCTGGCTATGTGGATCAGGTTGAGATAGGACTTGCCCAGTAGCCCAGGATGTTCTTAAGTGTTGGGCAGTCCTTTAACTCCCAAGTTCCATGATTATAGGCATGTTCCATCACACCTGGCCATCACTGTATCTAGATTTTTGTTCTTTAATCAACTTAAACTGCAAATATTGACTGTAAATGTGCATATGTTTTCAATCTCAAATGGATTGAGATTTTACCAGATACAAAGTTACCTCAGACCTATTTCGTTTTGCTTTTTGTTTGTTTGTTTGTTTTGGAGACAAAGTCTCTGTAGCCCTGGCTGCTCTGGAACTCACTCTATAGACCAGGCTGGCTTTGAACTCACAGAGATTCACCTGCCTCTGCCTCTGCCTCTAGAGTTTGGGATTAAAGGCATGTGCTACCACTGTTGGACTCCAACGACATTTTGGAAAAGTAAAATAATTTGGTAAAAATGGTAAAAGTAGATATATATGCTTATAGTGTTATTTTTCCTGAATAGTATTTTATTTTAATTTCTGTTTATATATTGAGATCTAAGACAGGTAAATTAAACTTTTGTTTACTTCATTTCCTAGGGACTAATTTGGTAGTAGACAGTTTCATTTACATTTTTAAATTTTTTAAAATGTATCTTTAAATACATTTTTGTGGTTTTTTTTTTGTGTGTGTGTGTGTGTATGTGTGTATGTTGGAGGGGTATGCATGCACACTAGTGTGCCTTGGTTGCATGTGAAAGAGGATAGTTTGTGAAAGTCAGTTCTGTCACCATATTGAATTAATGCCATATAGTGAGGATGTTTTGCCTTTTTTTTTAAAATGGAGATGGAAGTAGCTGAAGATCCTCAGCAAGTTTCAACCATTCATCTACAACTAGGATTGCCGCTGGTTTTTATTATCAGCCGACAAGCTACATACGAAGCTGATCGAAGAACTGCAGAGTGGGTGGCGTGGCGTCTTCTGGGGAAAGCCGGAGTTTTGCTCTTGTCAAGGTATCGTACATTGAGTGTTAATGATGCCTTCAATGTAGTTTTCCTTATTTTTAATACTGCAAACTAATCACAAAAATCCCTTTAAACCTAGCAGATTCTGTTATAGTCAGGACTACTCCTGAGCTGAAGACTATACACTAATTACTAGCTTGATTAGAATTAAAAAGAAGACTAGAAAACCCAGCTGGTATTTATACATGAAATTTCTCAGTCTCACTAAAATGTAATCATCTATTCACAATCGTTTTTAGAATCAGAACATACAGTTCTGTTTTAGATTGACATCCTCGGTGGTTTCTGCTGTGGGTTATGCTCTTGTATACTGTAAAGATTTGTCACTCATATTAGTTTAATAAAATGCTGATTGGCCAGTAGCCAGACAAGAAGTATAGGTGAGGAGACCAGACTAGAAGAATTCTGGGAAGAGGAAAGGAAGAGGGTCAGTAAGATGCAGCCAGATGCAGAGGAAGCAAGGTGAGAATGCCTCACTGATGAAAGGTACCAAACCATGTGGCTAAAAATAGATAAGAATTATGGGTTAATTTAAGTTGTAAGAGCTAGTTAATAATAAGCTTGAGCTAATAGCTCAAACAGTTTATAATTAATATAAGCCTCTGTGTATTTCTTTGGGACTGAATGACTATGGGACTTCTGTTTAGGTGTTTCTTCAGATTAGTTAATAAGAAATTTATTTTGATTTTTAAAAGAGATTCCATGGACATGAACATTCCTCAGTATGCTAATGTGGCCTTCAGAAGAGCAGAGAAGGTTAGTCACTTTATACACTGGTCTATAATGCTACCTCTTTTAACTAAAGTAATCCATGTGGACTAAAGTAATACATGTTTATTATTAAAAAGATATTTAAATTATCATTCTTTAAATGAATAATTGCTGTTTTTATTTTCCAATGTGTCAGTCTCTTTTCTCATGTTCACACACACACATATAACTTTTTCTAAAAGTGTATCTGACCTTTACCTAAAATTATATTTAGTTATTTTATCTTATGTAATATTTTAAATTGTTTTGACTATCACTGATTCCTTCTTCTAGCGAAATTTATGGAAGCAAAATTGCAAAATTTGCCAAAGGAAATGAGATTCAGACTGACCCTTAACTTGGAGTCTCTGTCTCATCCTTCTGTGTGCTGTGCATGCTAGAGTTACTGGTGTACTTTAGTGTGGAGCTGTGGGCCGCTTCCCGCAGCTCGGCTCCTGCATGGCTAGCTTTACCCAAAATAATTACACAGAAACTGTATTTTTTGAAACACTGTTTGGCCCATTAGTTCCAGCCTCTTATTGGCTAATTCTCACATCTTGTTTTAACCCATATTTAATAATCTGTGTAGCACCACAAGGTGTTGCTTACCAGGAAAGATCTTAACCTGCATCCGTCTTGGAGAGGAGAGCTATGGCGACTGCCTGAATCTGCTTCTTTCTCCCAGCATTCTGTTCTGTCTACTCTGTCTACCTAATTTTCTGTCCTATCAAAGGCCAAGCAGTTTCTTTATTAATTAACCAATAAAAGCAACAAATAGATACAGGACCCACCTCCATCAGTGTACATTATACCACAAACCCGTGTGTGTGTCACTCAGGGGCTGTGACACCTGCCGAGGTCAGAGGACAACTTGGTGTCCTCCTTGTACTGTGTGGGCTCCCAGAATTGAACTCAGGTCTTCCGGCTTGGTAGCAAGTGCCTTTCTTAAATACCTGGGAGTAAAGAATAATTTTATGTTTATGGTTAGATAGAAAGTTGAATTTATGGAGGAAGTCTCTTAAAAGAAGTATTAATTCTATTATTTGGTAGAATGTAAAATTAACCAATTTTGATTGGTTTTATTTGCAAGAAAAGTATTGTATATTCATATTCCTCCTCTTTTATCTTGAGATATAGAACCTGTAATTCTTTTATAAGAATTTTCACAGACACTAGTCATGATTTAAAGCAAGTGAGAATTTCATTTCCTCTTTTTGCCCTTTTTTAGGAGGGCATCTGTCTTTAGCTGAAGCACACATTGGATGCTTTTCTCTTTGTAATAATTGTGACATTTATTTCCTTTTTTTTGTTCATTTAATTTTAAAACTGAAGTTTAGAGTTTTGGTTTTATTTTAGTTCCAGGGAAGTAAAATATTTAAGATGAAAATGCTTTTTTATATATAGAGATCAAGGTAATGTATGACAATAAACACTAGAAGGGTGTTGGGAGAGAGAAGCCCATACGCTGACGGCAGGAGTGTGCACTGACTAGCCATTGTATAAATGAGTGTGTAAGGTAATGTATGACAATAAACACTAGAAGGGTGTTGGGAGAGAGAAGCCCTACACACTGATGGCAGGAGTGTGCACTGGCACAGCTGTTGTGTAAATCAGTGTGTAAGGTAATGTATGACAACAAACACTAGAAGGGTGTTGGGAGAGAGAAGCCCTACACACTGATGGCAGGAGTGTGCACTGGCACAGCTGTTGTGTAAATCAGTGGGCAAGGTCCTCAAGAAACTCAAGAAATAGCCTAATAGAGGCCAGGGGAAGGGATCAGCAGCTGTAATGCTGGCTGGACAAATGTGATAGCCTGAATATGGATTTTCAGAACCCATGGAAAGCTTCCCTCACTAGTGAATGTCTAACCACAGACACTGATGTAAAGGCCCTCTGATGAGAAGGGAGGTGGAGGCAGGAGAACCCCTAGAAGTTTGAAGGACAGCTAGTGTGATTGGACAACAGAGACCCAGTGTCCAACAAGGGTGGAAAGGGAGGACACAAAAGGTTGTCTTCTGACCTCCATGCCTGTGATATGCCACCCCACAGCCTCATTCACAGGCATGGGCCTTGTCTCAGTTAGCGTTGCTAATACTGTTATGAAACACTGTGACCAAAAACAGCTTGGGGAGGAAAGAGTTTATTTGGCTTACACTTCCACATCAGTTCATCATTGAAGGAAGTCAGGACAGGAACTCAAAACAGGTTAGGAACTGGGAAACAGGAGATGATACAGAAGCTTGAGGGGTGCTTGTTCCTCATGGCTTGCTCATCCTGCTCGCTCTCTCTTTCTCATATATATATATATTCTCATATATATATATATATATATATATATATATATATATATATATATATACACACGCACGCTCGCGCACACACACACACACGTAGTTTTGTTGTTTTGTTTTTCTGAGGCAGCATTTCTCTGTATAACTGCCTTAACTGTCCTGAAATTCACTCTGTAGACCAGGCTGGCCTCAAACTCACAGAGATCCTCTGGTCTCTGCCTTGGGAGTACTGGGATTAAAGGCGTGCACCACCACTGCTAGGCTCAGCCTGCTTTCTTATAGAACCCAGGACCATCAGCCTTGGGGTGCCACCACCCACAGTGCACTGGGTCCTCCTCCATCAATCACTAATTAGGAAAATGCCCTATAGCCTTGCCTGCTTAAAGTTTGATCTTCTGGAGGCATTTTCTCAATTGAAGTTCCCTGCTCTTAGATGACACTGTAGTTTATGTGAAGTTAGCGTAAAACTACCCAGCACTAACGTCATTCACACAGATGAGCATGTGCATGTGTACACACCCTTCATACACACACATGTGTAAATACGTCCTACACAGAAGAAATAGAGGGGCAAGAGAGCCCATTCGTGAAGAGGGCTTGCTGCTTTTGCACAGGACTGAAGTTCCGTTCTCAGCACCCACAGCCACTTGTATTCCAACTTCAGGGACTCTGATGCTTTGGTTCAGCCACTATGGCACCTGCACTCATGTGGCACATACCTGCGCGTGCGCGCACACACACACAATTTAAGGATAAATCTTTAAAACTATCTAAAATAAAACTACCGTATGATCCAGCTATATCACTCTTGGGCATCTAACTGAAGGATTCTTAGGTCAACAGACCACAGGGATATTGTTCTTATTCCTTCACTCACTATTCACCATAAATGGAAAATGGGATCAGCCTAATGTCCATCAGCAGATGAATAGATAAACAGTATAGTCCATCTGCACAATAGAATTTTTTAAAATATTTATTTATTTATTATGTATACAATATTCTGTCTGTGTGTATGCCTGCAGGCCAGAAGACGGCACCAGACCTCATTACAGATGGTTGTGAGCCACCATGGGGTTGCTGGGAATTGAACTCAGGACCTTTGGAAGAGCAGGCAATGCTCTTAACCACTGAGCCATCTCTCCAGCCCCACAATAGAATTTTTGCAGCAGTGAAAGAATGAAATCATGATAGTTTCAGGAAAGTGATAGGAATACTAGAAATCATTGTGTTAAGTGAAATAAAACAGACTTGGAAGGATAAATACTGCATGTTTATATGCATGTGCAGAACCTAGGTGAGTGTGTGTGTGTGTGTGTGTGTGTGTGTGTGTGAGAAGATTCAGGAAACTGGAAAGGAGACCATGAGAGAGGAGGAGGGAAAAGGGAACGACCACACATGACAAAAGCAGCAGGGGTACTGTTTAGCAGGAGTCAGTAGACCAGCAAAGAGGGTGCAGGAAGATTGGAGAGGTCAGTAGGGGCAAGAGACAAGCACAGAATATATTGACACATTTGAAAATGTCATAATGGCACCTGCCACTTTGTATGCTAACTTGAAAAATTAAATAACATTTTTTAGGAAGTGCCTGTGGAATTTCTGTCGTTAAGTGATGCTGATTTAATAGTTTCTCATGTGAAAAATAATATGCACATTGAAGAAATCCAGGAAGATGAAGACGGAGATGAGGAGGGCCCAGATCTGGGTAAGATCTGCAAGACCATCCTTCCTGCTCTCCCCTCCCCTAGTGCAGCAGTGGAATGCCAGGTAGATGAGCAGCTTTACTGTGTGATCTCCTTCAGGATCTGTGAGGGAATCTGGGGAGGGAGACTTGGAGTCACTGGTGACCAGTGAGCAGATGAAAGGGGCGTTCTTTTGCATGTTAGTCCACACCTACACTGCTTACACCAGGCTTCCAGCTTCCCACATCTTTGCCCTTGTTTCCCACAGTCAGTTCTCACCCACTGGGCTGGCTGCATCTAACAGTTCCACACAAAGCCATGGTGTGCTTCACTTTTATTGTTCGTCCTAGGAAATGAGATTGTAATTAACATTGTGTTTGTAGTTGTAAATAAGTCTGGTTGTCAGCGGTATTAGTAATAGATTTCAGTAATATTTTGCTATTTATTTATCAGTCTCTTTTGACTTTTTTTCTCATGGCTGACTTGCCTTTCTTTGATTAACAATCAAGTCCTTTGAGAGAACTAACCTCACCTTTGATTTATAAAGAATCTGTTTCCACAATTATGTGACTTGCCAGCGTCACAGTGGCCCAGAACTTAAGCATCTGACACAAGACTTATTGCTATCATTATCATTCCTATTATTTTTTGTGACTTTAATCTTAGTCTGTAATTGCTTATTTACATTTTTCTGTGCTGAACTACAGACTGCTGAATCAGGGCTCACGTCTTGTTTCTGTGTCCCACTAATGGAGTATTTGAATGCTCTGTGTATATCTAATCATCACAGAATCTCCACGGTGCTTCCCTTGAGGTGTTTCTATTCTGATCGGCATCACTTGCTTGCTGGATTGAGCTAAGCCCTGGTTCTCTTCTGGTGTGTAGAATGTCTGTTTTCTCCCCAGATTTCTTCTAACTTTAAATCATTTGTCCTGATCTCTGCTCTCTTTGGTATGGGACAATTGTCTGTATTCTGTCAATTATATTTTAAATAAATGCTGATTGGTCAGTAGCCAGGCAGGAAGTATAGGCGGGACAACCAGACAGAAAGTAGAGGTGGGTCAATGAGAACAGGAGAATTCTGGGAAGAGGAAAGCTTGGCCCACAGTCCTGGCCCAGCCACAGAAGAAGCAAGATGTGACTATCCCACCAAATAAGGTACTGAGCCACGTGGCTAACACAGATAAGAATAATGGGCTAATATATGTTATAAGAGTTAATAAGAAGCCTTAGCTGATGGGCCAATCAGTTTATAACTAATGTAGACCTCTTTGTGATTTCTTTGGAACTTAACGACTATGGAAACAGGGCAGGACAGAAACCTCAGTCAACACCTCTTGCTTCCTGCTCTATTCCACTTGTCAGGGTTAGGGCACCTGCTTTTGTCTAGGTTTAGTGGGATTCCTCTCCTCAGTGGCAATTGCTTCTTTTAAGAGTTCTTTGTGGAAGTCATGTGCCCTCTTGCCTCCTTCTGTCTGCTCCAGATTGCCTCCTATGGAGCTGCTTTCCTTAGGATCTGCTGTCTTGCCCCTAGAGGTTGTTGTTGTTGTTTTGGGTGTGGGAGAGGCAGGTGAACTTTTTTCCATTTTACCCTCCTACTGTATGTAATCTACATTGGCCTTTGGTATTGCATAGCGTCGTGCCTACACACATAGTGTCCTCTCTAGTTTGAATCATCCCATTGACAGTGAAGTAGAAAAGGGTTTTAGGAAAGAAATAGTCATAGTGCAGTTTAAGAGACAAGTACCTCCCAAACGAAGTGGCCAAAGTGTGAATTAAAATGGACAGCACACAGAAAAGGAAAAAAAAAGTATAAGTAGCATATGGTACACAAGAACTCTTAATAGTTTTGTTATTGAGAGTGTAACTTTTTGGTGACATGGGAGGAAGGCAGCTCTTAAAGGAAATCAGTGTACATTTAGGCTTTTAGGGTTTTACAACACAAAATTCTTGGCTCACTTTTCTGCCTACAGTTCAAACCGTTTGGTCTGGAGTCTATTTTGTCGGGCAGCCTTCACAGTTCCATTGCGCTAGTCCTCTCCTCTTGGTGCCCGAGTGTGACAAGCACTTCTGTAACGACGTAAGCAAATGCAGACAGATTGTAAAAATATATATACAGCTTTAATGGAGAAATAGACTTACAGAACCACCGTTCCCGCGGAGACCAGGAAAGCAGAAGCGAAGGCTGGGAGCACGCTTGCCAAATTTATAGGCAAACATTAGCCCGAGGCAAACACGCTCCCTTAGGGACGGGACTTATCCCTACATCTCCCCTTTTTGTCTAAATAAGACAGAACTAAACCAAATACAACTATATACAATAATAACAAATAATAAATATAACAAACAATATTGAGAACAAAAGTTTTGCTAAACATTCTATCTCAAGGAGTCTAAATAATGTAGAGAGTAACTACAATTATATAATCTTCAACTCCATCAAAGATCTGAGAAGGGAATAAATATTTCTTTTTTTTTTTTTTTTTTTTTTAGTTTTTCGAGACAGGGTTTCTCTGTGGCTTTGGAGCCTGTCGTGGAACTAGCTCTTGTAGACCAGGCTGGTCTCAAACTCACAGAGATCCGCCTGCCTCTGCCTCCCGAGTGCCAGGATTAAAGGCGTGAGGAATAAATATTTCTTAACAAACGAGATATATCCAAAATGTGCAACAATTGACAGAGACAACTGACTACCTGGGCAATCACCCAAAGTCTCGTTTGCAATGTTGAGTCAACCAACTTTGGCTAAGGCCTAACATAACTGACATGCCATTATTAAAGGCAAGGAACTTTTCAAAACTATCTTACCCTGTCTTGGCAGGATATGACAGTCCTGTTTTATCCATTGATGCACGCTCTGTATCTCTGTCAGTGGTTGAGGTATGGGCATTTCTTTGCCCAAAGGCCAGTACTGCCAAAAAGAAAGGCTCCAGGTGGAGTGTCTTTGGTGCTCAACATTCTCTCGGGAATAGAGCAGTGTTGCCAGGAGCAATTGTGTCTCACTATCACGAAACTCTGAGTTAGATTAAAGGCCATTTTCTACAGCTCTTTGAAGAGTTTGAAGATTATCTATCTAAACTGAGTATAATCTCTATATATCTAGAGAACCTGATTAGTCTGATTATAAATGACAAACTTAGATGACTATTTATCTATGTAATTCTCAATATCTATCTAACTTAAAGACTAAGACAATAAACAACTGTGTAACAAATGAGGATAATGACCTCCAAATATAAACACTGTACAAATATACATTGCAATATGGTAAATATATATCAATACACAAACATTATATAAGTATCTTAATCAGAGGTAGAAATGTACACTGCAATATGGCAAATATATACAATATATATTTATCAATACAATATATGTCAATACATAAAAAATGTTTTAAACAGAGATAGAAACATGCATGCATACAATAGTCAATATAATTTAACTTTGTATCAATATACCAGAATCGATACCAATATATTTGTCTAAAAGCAGTAACTCACAATTATAAATCTATCCCATCATTCCCTCTTTTGTTTTTTTTCAAAATGAACCCTGAGCTTATAAAATTCCTCCCCCAACCTCCCAACCCCTAAATGATGTCCCTAAACCCAGGGGTAAATTTTACTGGGAGAGGGGACGTCGTCCTCTAGAATTACTTCCAGCTGTCATGGGGGCGACGTTCTCTCTGGGGGATCCTGTGAAAGTAAAATGATGGTTAAATTTCAAGATCAATGTCTTTTAAAATTGCAAATAGTCTCTGAGTATTTTGTGGAGGTCTGGCCAGAATGTTGTACAAGATGTGCACCATTTCAGCTAACCAAGTTGGGATCGTCTTGTGCAGCTGGTATCCAAAACAGGTCTTGTAGTAGCGCTATCAGTATCATGATATGACTATCAACCAGGTAGAGTTGTTGTTCTGGGGCCCCATGTTCTTCCTGGAAACTTCAAATGTCACTTCAGGAAAAACTCATTGTTCATTGTGAAAAACTTAAACATTAGTCATATAGACATATATAGACATACATATATATATATATTCAATGAAAGGCATGATAGATATATTCAATGAAAAGTATGATAGATATGAAAAAAAGCAAAGATGTTTTCTAAACTCATATTTCTTTCTGTCCCATATCATGGCTCTTGACATGAAACAGAAACTCCAGAAACTCTGGGTTTTTTTCTTACTAACAGGCTTGGAATTGGAGAGGGACTGAGCCAGAGTCCAATTTCAAAACCAGCTCTATATATTTATAAAGAAATGTTTAATAAGAGACACATATATATATATATATATAAATTAATACTTACAAAATGTGTCCATCCATCAGTAATTAAATATTCAGGGTCCCTCAATTTCTTTGAAGATGAGTATTTTCCTGTGGAGATAAGAAAAGAACCCTGCCTCCAACCTATCTGTATTTCTTACCATCAGTATGCTCGCCATCCTTATGAAAGAATTGTTATTTATCTTTTTTAAGTGACTTCTCTTCTTCAAACCGAACCTTTATTAATTTTGATGGTATCCACAATTTTTCCTCACCTGTGGAGATAAGAGCAAAACCCCTTCCCCAACGTAGCACATCTCCTGGCTTCCATTGTGAGGTCAGCACATCCTTGAAATAAACTGGTTGATTTAGTTCAGTAGACTTTTCCATTATCCAATGTCTTTCTGCAGCCGTTGTTCCCTTCTCATTAGCGTTGAGAAAATTCAAGGTTAACAAAGCATTATGTAACCTATTTCTGGGGGTGTTTTCCACCCCTTTCTGTTTGTTCAACATATCCTTTATAGTTCGATTTGATCTTTCTATGACTGCTTGACCTGTAGGATTGTATGGTATACCTGTAACATGCTTGATATTGTAATAAACAAAAAACCGTTTCATTTTCCTAGAGACATAAGCGGGACCATTATCTGTCTTTATTTGTGTAGGTATATCCATGATAGCCATGACTTCTAATAAATGAGTGATTACTGAATCAGCTTTTTCTGAACTTAAAGCAGTTGCCCACTGAAAGCCTG